TTCATCTGCATTCTCTGTGGAGGTATCATGGTCCTCATGACTGTCCTTGGTGGCCGCCATGGGGGCGCGGCGACGGCGGCTCGACTGGCTCAGGCGTCGCTGGCTCGGCGGCCTCCGGGCGGCTGGTCGCAGCTTCTTTACCTCCGCGTCTGGCGCCGGCGTCTCCCGCCCGTCCGCTCTTCCCTCCGCCCCCCGACCCGAACCCTGACCCCTGACCCCAGCGGCGGGAAACGCGCCGTGATTCAAAACCACTGCAGCTTTATTGACTCTGACGGCGGACATTCATTGTCCGGCCCGCCCCGCGCTTCCCGCCAAAACGCTCGCGGCGCATGCCCGGCCTCGCCTTAGCCTGGGGAGCGCGCTATCCCGGCGACCCACGCGCGCACTTCCGTCTGCAAACCCTGAGTGCCCCTGACGTCAGTGTGAGCGGCTGGTGGAAGGATCAGTCAGGACTCGGCGCGTGGCGGTGACGTCATCGGAAGCTGAGCCCTTAGAGAAACCAGGTTCGCCTAGTGTGCACTGGCCGACGGAGAGGCAGGCGAGGCAGTGTGGCTCTCTCTGACTACTGGGGAGCGAGTGGTGCATCCCCAGTCCTCAGTGGCGGCTCTGAGGACCCGAGTTTTGAGTCCCTCTACTGCGTAAGGCGAAGCCGTGGCATTTCCTCACGGCATCGCACCTAATTTCTGAGCACTTCGTGTGTAAGAGACCAAGGTGGTGGCCCTCGTGAGCACCCTAGTCCGGGCGACAGACGAGCCGGGCGATGAGTGAGAAGCTGGACACGGAAGTAAAGCGAAGGGAGAGACGTGCAGCAGATGTGGATGGGTGGGATCGGGTAGCAGTCATTACTGTTGGATCAGAGATGGGATGTGGGAGAACTGGGTCTCAAGAGTAGAAAGGAGCGGGTCTGGGCAGAGCTGGGTGTAGTGTGCGCTAATGGAGATCTGGCAGTGGTTTAGGGAGATAGCCCGAGGCCGTAGTCATCGTAGGTACAGCTTTAGCTTGACCTGTCTGTCCCCACGCAGGTTCAGGAGCAAATGGAGGACTGCGGCCCAGATGCCAATGCGGAACACAGCCCTGTAGTCCCAGAATGTAAAGAAGAGAAAGAGGAGCCTGTACCAGTTGCTGAGTCTGGAACTCAGCCTGGGCTCTACAGCTACATAAGGGATGACCTGTTCACCTCAGAGATCTTTAAATTGGAGCTGCAAAATGTGCCTCGCCATGCCAGCTTCAGCGACGTCCGGCGCTTTTTGGGCCGTTTTGGCCTACAGTCCCACAAAATCAAACTCTTCGGACAACCACCATGTGCCTTTGTAACATTTCGCAGCGCTGCTGAACGAGACAAGGCCTTACGAGTGCTGCACGGTGCTCTCTGGAAAGGACGCCCACTCAGCGTGCGCCTGGCTCGACCCAAGGCTGACCCCATGGCTAGGAAGAGGCGGCAGGAAGGTGATAGTGAGCCTTCAGCAACGCAGATTGCCGACGTGGTGACCCCTCTTTGGAGAGTGCCCTACTCTGAGCAGCTGGAGCAGAAGCGGCTAGAATGTGAACGGGTGCTGCAGAAACTGGCCAAGTAAGTGTGGCACTAACACCCCAACCAGAGTGAGCTTTTGCTCTTGGCCTGCTCCACCAGCCCTGTACTCTATTCAGAACACACAGGGCATATAAATCAGCGGTTCTCAACCTGGGGGGGGGGTCGGTTGTCTAAGACCATTGGAAAACATATTTACGATTCATAACAGCAAACTTAGTTATGAAGTAGCACCGAAATAAATTTCTGGCTAGGGGTCACCACAACATGAGAAACTGTATTAAACAGTTGCTGCATTAGGAAGGTTGAGAACTTCTGGCTAAGTGGTGAGGGAGCTGGTTAGTAATGCCACTATGGTACCGATGCAATAGTGAGGTCTCAGGGATCTGCCCAGTGTAGATGGGGAACACTCCAAGTCCAACCATGATATATTTCATCCTGCAGGGAAATTGGGAGCACTAACCGCGCCCTGCTACCCTGGCTGCTCACACAGAGACAACAGCACAATAAGGCTTGTTGCCCACTGGAGGGGGTCAAGCCATCACCCCAGCAGGTCAGGCTGACTATGAAATCCCCTTTGTGCGGGGAGGGGGAGGTTGGTGTTTTTTGGTTTTGTTATGCAGTGCTGGACTAAAACCCAGGATGTCACACATTAGGCATATACTTTAAGGCTGGGCCAGCCTGACATCCTGTTCTCTAAGAACCTTCCTTATCCTCTTTGCCACTTTCTTTTCATTTTTTCCTGGAGTTCAATACGCCAGCAGTAAAGTAAAACCTTGTTTTGCCTGCCCGCCCCATCAGGGTATATCTTGTTCATTCACTGTGGTGTTTCTTCTGGTCCTGAGCAATCAAGGTTGAGATCTGGCTGCCTTTGCCACCTTCTCTCCTGCAGACTGAATATCGTAATAAGTGTGAGTTTCTGGTTGGAGTTGGGGTAAATGGAGAAGACAACACCGTTGGCTGCCGGCTTGGCAAGTACAAGGGCGGAACGTGTGCTGTGGCAGCTCCCTTTGACACCCTGCACATTCCAGAGGCCACTAAGCAGGTGGTGAAGGCCTTCCAGGAATTCATTCGGTGGGAACCTGGCCTGGGTTTGGGCTCCTGAGAAGTCCCCAATCCAGGGAGCAGAGGGTGTGGTGCTTTGCCCTGGCAGTTGTGGGGGTAGGGGCAGGGTGCTGTGACAGGCACACACCAGGTACTCAGAGACACTTGTGGCTTCCTCAGGTCCACCCCATACTCGGCATACGACCCTGAGACATATGCAGGCCACTGGAAGCAGCTGACTGTTCGTACCAGCCGCAGAGGCCAGGCCATGGCCATTGCCTACTTCCACCCCCAGGTCTCAGGCAGAGGTCTTGTTGGGGGAGGTCTTTTTGGGTTGTTCTTAGTCTGATGGGCTTTTTGTATCCCCCACTGCAGAAACTGAGCTCAGAGGAAATGGCAGGGCTGAAGGCCTCACTAGTGTACTACTTCATGGAAGGGCCAGGCAAGGCCAGTGGGGTGACCTGCCTCTACTTTGTGGAGGAAGGACAGAGGTGAGGAGCCCAGGTTGGGACAGGAAGGGTGTCCAGATATCCAGTAACACTGACAGATCTGCTTCTCATGTAGGAAGACTCCCAGCCAGGAAGGCCTGCCCCTGGAGCATATGGCTGGTGACCAGTGCATCCAGGAAGACCTGCTGGGGCTGACCTTCCGCATTTCCCCTCAAGCATTCTTCCAGGTAGCATCTCCTTTATGACCACAAAGATACAGGGAAGGTGGCTGTGATAGCAGGTGTGGTATGAAGGGGAAAATAGGAAAAGAGATTTCTAAAGAACATCCAGGTAATGGGGACTCTAAGATAAGGGATAATTTGTCACTTGATTTCTTGTGGCTGACCCAATGATACATGTGGCCTTATTGTCTCCTGCCAAACCCAGAACAGGATACCATGGTAGCAATCTCCTTAGCTGTGGAACGACTTTCACTGTTGTGGAAAACCCTACTATGGAGATGGGGGGGGGGGGAATTCCAAAGTCTCCAGCGTAATATATGCAGTCATTCTCAGTTGGTCTGGGGAGAGTCAGGAAAAAAGCTCCCCATTGATGGGGATGTCTGTTTTTAAGGATTTACTTTTTTAAAGACTGGATGAGATCACTGATGTGACCCAAGTAGTGTGGGGTGCTAGCCTACACTGGAGTACACTATGGCTAACTAACCTCCAGGTAAACACACCTGCAGCTGAAGTGCTCTACACAGTCATCCAGGAATGGGCTCAGCTGGACGGGGGCAGTACCGTGCTGGATGTGTGTTGTGGCACTGGCACCATAGGCCTGGCCCTGGCCCCGGTAAGTCTTCCAACCCTAGAACATCTCCCTACTGTTGATCATGAGTGTGAAGGCTACTATCAAACCCCAGAGATAGCCCAGCTGTGCTGTGTTTTCCTTTCCTGAGCAGCCAGGGCAGTGGGTCTTCCCTATATCTCTATTTCAGAAGGTAAAGAGAGTCATCGGGATTGAGCTGTGCCAGGAGGCTGTGGAGGATGCCCGTGCGAACGCTCTCACCAATGGTGAGAACCTTTGTATCACATAGCAAGCAGGTGGTCTGTCACAGCAGAACTTTTCTGATCTGTCTTGGGGTTGGGGGCCTTCACAAAGTAGGACACTGAGGGGGATCTATAGACTTTTGGTAGGTCCAGAGTTCATTGACAACTTTGACACTATCCCTAGAGTTGAGCAACGTTGAGTTCCACTGCGGCAGGGCTGAAGATCTTGTGCCAGGCTTGGTGAGCAGACTGTCCTCCCAGCGACTTGTAGCTGTCCTAGACCCACCACGGGCTGGACTACGTGAGTGGCTTCCATTTGGGGAAAAGAGAAAAAAAAAAAAAGCTATGTTGGGTAGTCCACCATTAGGAGACACTAGCACCCTATGCTTTGTTAGATTCCAAGGTGATTCTGGCCATTCGTAGAGCTGAGAATATCAAGCGACTCCTGTATGTTTCCTGCAATCCCCGGGCAGCCATGGGCAACTTTGTGGAGTAAGTGTTTATGGGGGTGGGGGATGGTGATGAGGACACACCTATCGGCCACCTACAGAAACCTCTGGGGCTAATATTGGTACCTCCTTCCCACCACAGCCTCTGCAGGGCCCCATCTAACCGAGTAAAAGGCATTCCATTCCACCCAGTCAAGGCTGTGGCCGTGGACCTGTTCCCACAAACTCCACACTGTGAGATGCTTATACTGTTTGAGAGGATCGACCAACAACCTAATAGCACAGGAGCCTTGCGGCATCAAGACTCTGAAAACCCAAGAAATACTCCTGATACCACCTCACAGGAAATGGAGACTTCCCTCTCATCCTAGGTTCTGGGAACTGCAGAAGTGGACAAAAGCTGGGAACTCCTTATGGCTCCCTACTAAGCAGAGGATGGTGGCAAACACTGGTGGGCATGAGGCCTACCTAGCTGTTACTATGAACACTGTATCCTGTAATGGGGCAGCCAGACTCTAGAATAAACACTGTTGATTTACTGATGGTTTTGTGAGAGCCAGAGCCTTGACTCATTCCTACTTGACATCAGCTTCACTGTGTGCTTAATGGAATGCCTGGGCTCTCTTCAATTTAGTCACTGACAGAGGGAGTTTTAGGGCTAAACACCAGTCAAATATTCCAGGTGAGTGAGCACTAAAGATGGCCCCTGCAGGTAGTGACTGCTGAACACATGTCTATGCAGAGTTCACATGTGGTTAACTTGTGCACGCGTGGCACTTCAAATGACTATCCTGACCAGTTGAAGATCCACAAACATCCAATACTCTCATCAGAAGAAAGAAACCAGCCATTCCCTTGTGGACAGTTTTATGTGTTCATACCATTAGCATCTGCACAGGCTCCCAGCATTGTAGCATGACTGCTGTACTTTAAAAATTCACCTGTCTGTGAGAGATGGGGAGGGCACTGGAGACCAGGAGTGTATGGCAGCACCTGTTGTTGACATTGCCTGGGCAAATGGGACGACTATAGAGAGATCACCATGCCCATATGCTCAAGGCTTTCTCGATAGCAAATAATGGTCAGTCAAAAGGCTGATCACAACTATGAATGAGAGGCAAGAAAGAAGAAATCAAGTGTTCAACTCTAGCAACTTGATTTGGAGGATTCTTTTTGCCTAGATTAACACAGAAGTTAACTGCTGCACACAGGTAATGGGAGAAATATAGTATTGGGATAGCTGTTATCCCATCTTTGTGACAACACACACCATCCATAGATATTCAGGTACAGGGCTCTCAATATGCCTCTACTCAATACCCATCTTCATGGCTATCCAGAGAGCATGGGTAGACAAAGACTAAAACTGGCATCAGGCCTGGCTGCACAGAGTAGCCACCTTTGAATCCAGAGAAGCCAAAACTACTTATTGCAGTGCCAGCTCTTGGTCAGTGATGGGCTACACTGACAGCCCTGTTTTCTTTATATAAGTCCATCTGTTGAAACCAGTCTTTTAATCTCACTGTAAAAGTTTCCTTCCAAATTCTCAAAGGCTTTAAAAATTGATGAACAGATGGACTTGATTGTGCAAAAATCTATGTAAAAAACTTGCTAGAGTTTATCGAAGGTGGGAGAGCTTGGGTATCAGAAGACAGCTTTTAGGACATTAAGACATCATCAAAAAAAGTAGACTGCAACCCAAGAGCCAACCAGTTCAATATCTTCACTGTGCAATCTCTGTGTTCTGGTGCTAAAATTGTTTTATTTTAAGCCAAAATAGCCTGAAATAACCCTTTCTGTTATAACTTTTTCAGAGGAAAATGGCAAACACACAAAGCAGGTAATACTACAGTACAGGATACCTGTACCTTCTGACCAGGTCTCAGTGACTCCACCAAAAGAAGGAACTATGAGCAGAAGGACTACCATGGCATCATAGGCCAGCCAAAACTATAAAACCTGGTCGTCTCATCTATCAACCAAGTATCAGTTCTTGTCAGTGCATATAGTGTACTAAAATTCATGGAAACCTTCATAAAAACAGTCTGCAGCAGATACGTACAAGCAGGATCTACAGCTGCCTATCAGCTTCCACTTGTGCAGTTACTTATAGCTGATCCTTAAATATATCAAGTCACATTGAGAGCAGCTTCCAGAAGAACTGCTTCTTCGTACGTGTGCTGTAGGGTCACAGCTGTCCCCGCACGTCAGAGCAAAGCCCAGACATTGCCACAGGAAGGGAACTTAGGTTGGAGGCCTGGTGCTGCAGTGATCTGTTGCTGATGGTCGCCTGGGAAGCACTGTTGGCCCATGCCGCCTACCTCATACATCCACTGTGCACAAGGGCTCACCACCAGGCTGGGCAGATGCTACAATTGACATCTTGGGCTTCTTCCGAGTCTCCTCCTGGAAGAAGAGAGGTCAGCGATGTTAGAGGCATACCCAACAAAGAAATTCACAAGAGTGAAAGGGTGGAAGCCCCTGAATTTCGAGAGCACAAATGCTTGTGATACCTGGCTAGGAGGGAAGGTACAGGGAGCGGGCTGGGTTGGACCAGGCCAGGAGGGTCTCCTCAGAATGCCAGGGTAGACTCCCATGTGCTGCAGTTTCCCTGGCAATCTAGAGACACCCAGAATGGAAGAATTTGCAACAAGCTGGGATCCACCCCTCCAAGATGAATGTCATCCTAGCTTTGCTTGCCTGGAAGCCCAGTGAATTTTCCCCACAAATACGGACTATGTCTTTAGCCTGTTGTCTTGATCCCCACAACTAATCTCCCCAAAAGAGTCAAACTAGCAAGTACTGCTTACTCTAGCAGACAAGGCCTACCCCTACCCGAGAGTAGCAGAAAAGCAACTGGGTACTAAGAGTTTGTGTTCATACCTGGGTCAATGTCACCAGAGCTGGAATGGCTCTTAACTCAGAAGGCCTAGGGGTGTAAGTAACTATAAAATACTTTACAAGGCCAGGAAACAATATCAATAACAGAGCCCACTTGGGACAGAACACCTATGGCAGTTTTAGGATGCTTTACCATGACCACCAGGTTCTACCTAGGCTTAACTGTTCTATGATCTTTGAGTTATCAAGTACAAGGCCAGTGCACAATCCTAGCCCACAAATACCTTACTCCAATTGGACCCTTAGGCACTAAAAGACTGGACTGTCTACTAACTTAATGTTTTTAAGGAAAGCACTATCTATGCATGCTAGAACTTAAAGAAAGGTCAACCTCATCTGGAAGGACGAGTAAGCAAGATCTAGGTATAAGGAAGGAGCTGACCCAGCAATCCTGGTAACTATGGTATGGGCAGAAACAGTACAGGGGACTGCGGGGATAGATGGTGAGTTTAGGGGTTAGGTGGCAGGAGGCCTGGGGGAAAGGAGAGAAAAGGAGATAATCACCCGCTCTGCAGCCAGCCTCTTCATTTCCTCTTGCAGCTTGCTCAGGATGTGAAGGTTGGGCCTGTTCTTCTTGGCATACTGCTGTAGCTCTATCACACTCTTGTCAGAGGTCTCCTAGGGACCCAAAGCTTGCTCTCAGAACTGCCAAGCAGCAGTGTGCTCATGACCACCCAAAACAGGAGCATAAGGGCCTGGTAGGGAAGTGCATACCATTGGCCCACCTGTGATGAAGCCTTGGCTGCTGACAGATATAGGCTATAAGCACAGCCCTGAGCTCCCGGGCCTCTCCCAGAAACTCTGTCCCTTTCTCCATGATCACACCTCTGTTTACTGGCTGAGTACGAAAGTCAAGCACTCACTATGCTAGAAACCCTCAGAGAGTGGCAAGGGAATGGCTGAAGCCAACTGAGACATAACATAGCCAAACAGCCTGCCCAGCCAGTCTCTTTGGTTCCTTCTTGCCTTGGAGTCCATAGCCAAGGATGCTCAGTGTCTTGGCAAGCCAGAGGTTCTGTGCCAGAGAGGGCCATTCATCCTCCAGGTGAAAAAAGTCCCTGCCTATGGTTGCAGTAATATTCTCTCTCTGTTTCAGCACAGGACTATGTACGGCAAACACTGCACCTACATTTCAACTCATAGGAAACGCTTCTATTCAGGCTAGGGATACAGCTCGTGAAAGCTGTCCTTGCTTAGCTTGCACAAAGCCCCAGTATGAGCCAACAGCAGGGAGGGAAAGGGATCAGTAAAAAGAGAAGCCTTATATTGTTTATATTCTCCATGTGGCTCCTAGACCCCTGCCTTGCCAGTCCAGAGCAAGGACAGGACCAGGCCTCAGTTTTAGAGACCCTGAAGGGATGCTGCACAGCTCCAGACAGCTGGCTCAATGGTTCACAGCACAGTCTTCAGGGTCACCACCTATACTTGTCTAAATGATGGGATCCTGATGATCCAGGTAGTTTCTACATATTAAGGGAAAATGTTACAAAATGCTGGTGACGAGCTCAGTACTGGAGCATCTGTCTAACATGTACAAGGCTCTGGGTTCCAGCCCTAGCACCTCAAAAAAGAAATAGCCAGCTGCGAGGTGATGACACACACCTTTAATTCCAGCACTGGGGAGGCAGAAGTAGGCAGATCTCAGTAAGTTCGAGGCCAGCCTAGTCTACAAGAACTAGTTCCAGGACAGGCTCCAAAGCTATAGAGAAACCTTGTCTCAAACAAAAACAAAACAAAAAAAACAACAAAAACAAAAACTACAACAAAAAACCACCCCCAAAAAAGAAATTGCCAACACCCACTTCCCAGTACTTCCCCAACTCATTAGGTTTCAAGACTGGTTTAAATTTTGAGAACTAGATAAAAGCCACAGAAACAAAATAGGCAATATTTATATTCTGTAAGCACTGAGATTTTCAACTAAGCAAGGGCAGCTCCCAAGCCTTCACACAACTCAGCACCAGGTAGTGTTCATTGCCTGCACCTATAATGGTGTGTGGCAGGCCTGGTGCTCTAGGTATGGCTTGTACTTAAATGCTTGGTAGGTTCAAGAGTAAGATGTAGCTTGGGTGTCCCCACCCTTAGCCTGTACACTCACTGGCACAACAAAAGAAAGACAAAAGCAGCAGTGCTAGGCCTGACCTTGAGAGCAAACTTAGAAATGAGCTCCAAAGCAAGAAACAGGGAAGCAGAGCAGCTGCCGATGTCCTGACAGTCTGGTTACCTGCTTCACCATTTTGCTGCTCTCACGGCCATACATGCGTAGTAAGGACCCCCAATTCTTGACATGTGGGTGCAGCAGCTGAAGGATTTTCTGAGAGGCTAATTGTTTCCCAACTCGTTTATTCTTACCTGTGAGAGGAAAAAGCAAAGGTGGAGAGGAGTCACAAATATCCAAACAGAAAAACCTTTCCTTGGTGTCTAGGGAGCCATGCAGGGATTCCACAGGAGGGTAGACAGTGCTTTGCCACTGTGCTAGACACCATTGACTCACAGTCCTGAGACCTGGACCCAGGTACCACTCTGCCAAGCAGCTTTCAGGAGAGCCAGACGAGGACAAGTGGAAAAGCTATTAGCCAAGACAATGAAAGTCCCTTCTCTCCAGTGTCCCACTCCACCCCACTTTCCTGCAACACACAGACCACCAGCAGCAAGGATTCCTATAATGTATATGGCTCCTGAGGGTAGGTGCCTCTCCACATGAAGAATGCCCTAAGCCAGGAGAGCTCTTCAGGCTAAAAGATTGTTGGACTGCTCACTCTCTCAACGTTCTCAGCTGCCTACCCCTGTGGGGACTAGAGTTTGTAGTGTGCAGCATAGGTAACTGGGAATATCCAGGTCTAAATGTGGGTCTGTAATTTCCCAGGGTCCTCTAGGGATCATCCCTTAATATATATAAAACTAAGTTTTCCTTACAGTGATTACTTAGTGTTTTACTTCATGGTTTTTTATTTTATACACACACACTTTTTTTTTTTTTTCGTTTTTCAAGATAGGGCATCTCTGTGTAACAACTCTGGTCTGTCCTGGAACTCGCTTTGTAGACCAGACTGGCCTTGAACTCTGCCTGCTTCTGCCTCTTGAGTGCTAGGAAAAAAGGCATGTTCTACCATGCCTGGCCTTTTTATTTATTTATTTTTAAAGAACAAGGTCTTACTATGTTGTTCAAGCTAATTCTGAACTCATATCCTCATATTTGATTCTCCTGCCCAGCCTCCTCTGAAGCTGGAACTACTGGTTTTATGTTGGCCTTTACTAAGTAACTATGTCAGATGTGAAAGCAGAGTAAGGTGGTGCCTAGAAACCAGAATACAGGCATACAGATGGATAGATAGCCATCAGAAGGCACCTCAGTCTGCTCCTCAGAAAGCCAATCTCTCATCCTACCAGAGACTGGCTGGTTAGAGGTAAGAGAAGCAACAGTGGAACAGAAGGAAGAATGCAAGCAGGGTCACAGCTCTAGCTTCAGATGAAGGTGGCCCACACAAAGTTGAGGCTTATTTGGGATGACTGCTAAAGAAGTAGTAGATTAGGTAGGCCATACCCCCTCATGTCAGAAGCTGCTGGCCATATCCCAGCAGTCCTCTGAAAACATGTCAAGCTATGAGGGAAGCAGGGGAGGAAACATGTCCTTACACCACCCGCGCACTGTGTGTTTGCCGCACGCCATGACATATTCGCTCTTCTGGTTTTTCCCAGGAACCACTTCAAACTTGATTGATGTGTCACCCATTCCATGGTTTCTTTCAGGGGAAAACAAAGAGACATCAGTGGATGGTACCTGTACATGGTGACTTCTGAGGAGGGCTACCAAATGACAAAGTCCATTAACAACTCTCCAGAGAAAAGCGAACACCTCCCTAGATGACTAAAGAAGATTCCCCACACTCATTTCAGTTAACCAGGACTGGCCTATCAGTCAGAGCCAAGGGGCTCCTGTATATTCAGGCAAACAGATAATGCCTTGGGACAAAATCCAAGTAAAAATTTGAGATGCTCCAGAGGAGCTCCCATGACTTGATTCTTGAGGAAGGAGCTGCCTACCCTACCTTTTAAGGCACTCATGGAGGATCTGATACGGAGACAATAGCCCGGCCTTGCTGGTCAGTTCGTAGACTCGTGAATCCTCAATACTGATGTGGTTAAAATACTGAAATACAAAGCACATGCTTGTGAATCCCGAGCAAGCCCAGACCTCTTAGAGTCGTGCCACACTGTGTGCTTCCCTCACGTGCAGAACATCTTTTCCTGTCAACTCACTAGATCATGTCATACCTGGTATCTCTTTTAGTGGTAGAACTGTTTGGGAGAGATTAGGACAAGGTGTGACCTTGTTGGAGAAGGTGTGTCACTATGGGTGGGCTTTAAGGTTTCAAAAGCCCAAACCATTCCTAGCTAGATTTACCACCCGATCCCACCTCCTTGTGGATGAGATGTGAGCTCTCAACTACTGCTTGAGCACTATGCCTGCCAGCCACCACACCTCTCACAAGATGGTCATAAAAAAACCCTCTGAAACTGTAAACCTCAATAAACCCTTCTGTAAGTTGCCTTCGTCATAGCGTTTTGTCAGAGTAATAGAAAAGTAACTAAAACACACGAGGAGAGAAATTTTGCACAGCAAGACTCAGGTAGGCTAGGGGTAGGAGAAGCAGCCATAAAATGCATGGGACAAAGGATAGAGGCTCAGAAATTAGTAGCTAACAGAACCTCCCCTGACTTGATCTTAGATTGACTTGATCTCAGTGAACAGGAGATGCCAGATAGCTCAGTTCACTCTATAGCACAGACTGCAGAAACAGAATACACACACTGATAAAACTACCTGCTGATGATAAAATTACATACACAAGAGTAGTCCCATATAATTTTATCACCTAGCAACATTAGAGTCACCCTAGTTTGTGTAGGTACCCTCTATAGAGTTTACATAGGTAAATCATCTAAGTAACATATCTGTACCGCAAACGGGGTGACTTTAAGCAATAACAGTGGGTTCTCTCACAATTCAGGGTAACCAGCAAAGCTATACTCCCTCTCCAGAGACTACATGGGAAAATCCAACTTTTGGTGGCCCAGGTCTTATGGCTTATGGCAGCACCAAGACACTCTTCACTAGGTCTCTTTTTTTCTCACCTCTGGAAAACCAGTCACAATTTTTCAACCACAAATCAATTAAATTATACCTGTAGCATCGTAGTCTCCAAAGTAAGGCCACATTCTGAGGTACCAGAGATTAGCCCTTCCTTTTCAGAAACATAATACAACCCAGACCAGAATCCCCAGGAAACTTAGAACAAAGTTTAACTTTTCAGTTGACAAGCAAATAGGAACAAAGAGCTTGAAACAAACATTAAACAATAGACTCCACCAGCCAGAGGATCTCTGCTGGGAGCAGAAAGTCTCTCACTAGCCTGCTAGGTAGCCCCAAGAGTCCAGACCTTGGATGACATGAAAAAGCTACATCAAGTCCTCTCTAGAATGACACATGGACGGCTCTCATGTGTCTGCACTGCTCAGGTGACAATAATGTGGAGGAAATTAGTAGATGTAGAGTCCAACCAAGACTGGTAAGCATGAATTCGAACTGTCGTGGCTTGGCTATTGTCTTCAAACAGGCATCAAAAAATGTCTCTACCCTCAAACATATGTAAGCCATTCACCCTTACCAGGAGTTAGGCCCTGGAACTAACCACAAGGACCTGATTACCAACATCAGCCTATCTGAGCCTGCTCTACCCAGCAGTTGACACCGGGACAGCAGGGCTCAACAGGGAGACAGCGAACTTATCTCCAACCCCAATCTCTTCCCTGAAAAACCCTGACTAGCATACCCACTGAAGAACACACAACATCCAATCAAGACAACCAAATGTGTGGTTATAAACCATCCCACTTAGAAAACTTCAGGTCTAAATGACTTCACTGGCAATGATGACCACTCCACATTTAAGGAAGAAATAATACCAGCTGTATCTACACAAACTCAAGGATGATACTTCACAGCTTAGTTTATGATGCTACCAGTACCATATTAAAACACCAGAAGAAAGTAAGAAACCAAATGAGATGAAACCTACACAATAGCAACTGTCAAAAACACAGATGCAAACTTGGAGAATATCAGTTAGTATTCATGGTGGTATATGTCTACATGCCCGACACTTAGGAAGATAAGGCAGGAAAATCCTGAGTTCCATACCAGACTGTGCTATGTACCAAGACCCTGTCACAAACAAATAACACACTGAGCTTGGTGGAACATCCTTTAATCCTAGCACTTAGAGGCTGGTAGACCTCTGTGAGTTTGGGGCCAACCACGGTCTCATAGTGAGTTTGAAGTCAGTCTGGTCTGCACAGCAGGTTCAAGGCCAGCTAGTATAATATAGTGAGCCCCTGACTCAAACAAACAAAAGAAAGGCAAGATGGCTTAACGTAAAGCACTTGCTATGCAAGCTTGACAATCTGAATTCAATCTCTAGAACCCACAAAAAGGTAGATGGAAAGAACCAAGTTGTCCTCAGATTTCCACACCTGTGTTGTGGCACATGTGCTCAAACACGCTATAAAATAAATAACACACACACACTTACACACTTGATAATTAGGAACTAGCAGTACACAGAAAGGAACACATATCATGCAAGGTAGGACTCTATTTCAGGAATGCAGGCTTTAAAAGAATCAACATAGTCAGGCAGTAGTGGTGCATGCCTTTAATCACAGCACTTGGGAGGGAGAGGCAGATGGATCTCTGTGAGTTTGAGACCAGCCTAGTCTACAGAGTGAGTTCCAGACCAACTAAGGTAACTTACAAAATAAAGAATTTATTGGGGCTTACAATTCCGAAGGAGTAAGAGTCCATCATGACAGGGAGACATAATACCGAGTGACAAACATGGTGTCGGGAACAGGAAAACATAAGAGATCATATTTCAAACACAAGTACAAAGCAGAAAAAGCAGACAAGAACATGAACTCTCAAAGCTCACACCCAGTTATGTACTACCTCCAGCAAGTATTAAATTGGGCCTGATGGGGGGGCATTTTTTAAATTAAGCATCCACAAAAGATGACTCAAAAAAATCTATAATAAAACTATGAGAACTAACAAATGAATTTACCAAAGTGGCAAGATACAGTCAATACACAAACACTAAGTTGTATTTACATGCCAGCAATGATCTAAAACTAAACATTTACCCACTACGTAGGACAATCTAAGAATCATAAAATGTGAGCAGGAACTATATGATAAAAGCTTCCAATTACTAATGAAGGCAAAGGCTAAGAGAGGTACTACTAGTACATGGAAATCTCTGTTCAGTCATCAGCTAATCTAAATGAATTTAGATATGTTACAAAAAATACAGATAGGTAATACTCAAGAATACAGATAATTCTTTGCAATTACTATCTGGGGAAGATATTACTATAAGTTAAACTATAAACTGTGTCTTCGTCTTCTGCTCCAAAATTTACAAGGTGAAGTCCTAACCCTTATGACCTCAGAATGTAACTACATGGATAGAATGGGCCCTACATTAGGACACAGTACTATCCCCAGGACTAATTCCTTATAAACATAAGAATTTCAAAGAGAAACATACTTTCAAGGAAAAATATAAACATGAAGATAACCGTTTATAATTAACATAAATCTCTGTGTGTTTCTTTGGGATTAAATGGCTGTGGGCACCCAAACATTTGGCAAGAATTTCCACATAAACCCTGGAAAAGGTTTAAAAAATAAAAATAAAAGGGGGGGGTGGGCGCTCTAGACAGACAAGAACAGAGTCAAGCATAGTTTCTTGGTAACTGTCTTTTTCCCAGTAGACTCTTTTGCTGGTAGCAAGCAAAGACGGGGCTCCTTTAAGAGAATCTTCCTGCCTCAATGTTAGCAGCAAGAGCCTCGCAATTCTTTTAAGAGGCTCTGCCAACAAAAACTTACGTGGTGTTTATATGCAGCTGGCATCAGGCTTCTTGGTGGTGGCATGAACCTTGCTACAAACTCCAGTGTTGTAGCAGTAAACATGGCTCCTGCCAGTACCTCCACCGTGAAGCTAGACTCTTAAAAAGCTAAGTAATGGGGTGGAGCCAGGTGCCAAAGCCTGGCACCTAAAAACCTAGTCATAACACTTAAAAGATTAAAGACTCACGTGGCCAGAAAAAGATAAAGATATAAAGATAAATTCATTAAAAAATATACGTAAGCTTGTGAGAGAAAAGAAAAAGAATAAAGTCCTTTAAAAAAAATGGTTGGGTGTAATTCCAGCACTCAGGAGGCAGAGACAGGCAGATCTCTGTGAGTTCAAGGCCAGCCTGGTCTACAGAGTGAGCTCCAGGACAGTCAAAAATACACAGAAAAACCCTGTCTCCAAAATAAATAAATAAATAAATAAATAAATAAATAAATAAATAAATAAATAAAAATTCAAAAAAAGGTAAAATAGTTGTTTTGTTTTTTAAAAAAGGCACATGATGGGAAATACACAGAGAATCTGGATAGTGTATGTAATTGTGCTGTCTTTGAATTCTTTGCTGAAGAAGCAACAGCTGCTAAAAGACATTCGATTATAAATGCCATTGGATTAATCTAACCTTTATATTTTAAAAATGCCTTGACTATAAAAGATATGTTACTTTGGAGAAGAGGTTTTGCTTTTGTTTCCTCATAAAATAAAAAGTTGTGGATTCATTCTGGATTAAGAAAAATAAAGTGTGATCAAGGAAGACCCCTCTGAAAAATCTCCAATGGGAAAAGATGGCCCAGAGGACCCAATACTTCAGAGCACCTCTGTTGCAGTTTCCTCTGAGTTCTATATTCAGAACAGCCTCAAGACTGCTGACTGGATGATCAATCGATCCAGCCACACAGAATACGCCAGTCAGGATTTGACCAAAATCCTAAATTTTCTTTGAGTACCCATAAGGTTATCAGTGCCCCCGATCAATAGAAGTGGCCTAGAAAACTACAACCACATTCCCAAAAAATGGATTATGGATGTCTGTCTTTGTTTAGTATGTTGGTTACAGTTTGTTATGGATAATATCAGGAAAAAAAGACAAAAGAGATAAAATACAGAGTTCTTATTTTGAAAGGAAAAAAGGGGGATAAAGCTCTTGTACACTGTAAAGATTTGTCACTCATATTATTTTAATAAAATGCTGGTTGGCCAGTAGCCAGGCAGAAAGTACATAGGTGGGTCAACTAGACTAAGAGAACTCTAGAAGGGGAGTCAGTCAAAAGCCAGACAGAGGAAGCCAGATGAGAATGCCTCACCAAGAAAAGATACCAAGCCACAAGACTAAACAAAGATAAGAATTATGGGTTAATATAAGTTTTAAGAGCTAGTTAGCAATAAGCCTGAACAATAGGTCAAACAGTTTATAAGCCTCTGTGTGTTTCTTTGGGACTTAATGGCTGTAGGACCTGGTGGGACAGAAGCTTCTGTCTACTGTTCGTAACAACTCCAACTCCAGTAACAGGATTTAAACTGGCCAAAAGGAAGGACCAGAAAGATGGCTCACTAGTAAAAGTGCTTATCATATAAACCTAGTGATCTGAGTTTGATCCCTGGAACCAAAGTAAAGTTAGGAGAGAACTATCTCCATGAAACTGTTGCCTGGCTTCCCTATGTGTATTCACACACAACATGAGCATAAGTCCACATACTCCTATACACACAAAGATGCACACAAAAAATAAAAGAACTACAAAGAAAACTGTCAGTAACCGATACAATCAGTAATTCACTATCCTATCTTTGATACATACTGAATTGATACATAGTAAACAACCAAAACAGCTACATTGTGAGACCTTTTCTCCAAAAATGGGTAGAGAAGCAGTTGAGGAGACGCCAGACATCACCTTCTGGCCTATAAACAGGAGAATGTGTGTATGTGTGCATGCACGCACACACACAAACACAAAACTCTACACAGAACAAAGGCCATGGCACCTAATTTCTTTGTCCTGGTTTGCCTTGTTTTCACTTGTTCTCATTCTCTTTGTTCTTTATCCATTTCCCTCCTACTGGAAGCTGATGAGATCTCTTGCTTGTCTGCCCCATTCTTCTCTCTGTAATGTTAATTAAGTTCCTTGAGTTCCCTTCTGAGTTTGTTTTAAATACTTTTTCAAACACTTTTTATTTACATGTATGGATGTTTTGACTGTATGTATATATGTGTACCACATATGTACAATGACCATGGAGGCTAGAAAAGAACATTACACCTGAAACTGGGGGCAGAAGGAGAGGGGAACATAACAACAGAAATGAATTCAGGTTCTCTGCTAGGGCAGCAAGTATTCATACATCTCTCCAGCTCTATTTTTATTTCTAATAAAATTTTATTATTTACTTTTACCATTTTAAATTATGTCTGCATATATATGTGCTCGAGAGTCAATGTAACCAGTAAGGTCAGGAGTATTGAATCCCCTGGAACTGGAATTACCAGCGTTTAAGACCCACTCAACATGAGTGCTAGGAACCAAACTTGAGTGCTTTGCAAAACCAGTATGTGTTCTTAACTGCTGATGGCATAGGCCTTAAATCCCAGCACTGAAAGGCAGCGGAAGGTGGATCTCTGGAAGTCTGAGGTCAGCCTGACCTATACATGAAGAGTTCCAGGTCAACCAGGTTTACACATTAAGAAACTGTCTCAAAATAAGCAAACAAATAGAAACACATACAGGAGTTGGGGGCAGGGAAGGCTGGAGATAGGGCTCAGAGACAGTTCTTGTCAGGGATGGAATGTCTAAGGCCCTAGATCATCCCACTCCTACACAAGAGGAAGGGGAGAGTGTAGATTATGAATTGTTCACTAGAGGTGTTACCTAGTATACTCAAATAGGCAGAAGAAATACCAGTAAACATAAAGATAGGTCTATCAAGATCATCTAGTATGGAGAACAAAAATAAGTAAGACAAAGTTTCAGAAACCTCTAGGGCAAATTAAAATTACCAATAAGTATATCAAGCTATACCCAGTCTTTGGTGTTTTGTTTTGTTGAAACAGGTTTCATTGCCTGGCCCAGAGAAGATTAACTTTGTGATAATTCTACCTAATGGAAAACAGTTACTGATCAGAAACCAGAAAGGATAAAAGGCAGTATGGGCTGACATACTACCTACTGGGAAATTAATCAAGAGCCAGCTGTGTGTGAACACAAGTGGGGTACAGGACAGAACCGAGGTCACAACAGATAAGAAGAACCCATTAGCCAGCCAGTGTAAACTGTTTGGCCTGATTATATTGTACACTCTTGAGGGTGGAGAAAAATCAACTGCTGCTGGGCAGAATTTCCCAGTTTAGAGGGTGGGAAGACAGTGCAGTTAGTTGGCAAAGTGCTTTCTACATAAGTATGAAGACCTGGGTTCAATTCTGAGAACCAACGTTAAAAAAATTCCAAGCTTGGTAGTGAACTAGGCAGGAAAAGAAGACATATACCTAGAGCCTACTAGGCAGCCTAATCTACTGAGTATTCCAAGCCAGCAAAACACTTTCAAAAAATACAGGTGGTGCCAGAGGCACAACATCTGAGGTTATTCTCTGCATACATGTACACACACCCCCTCCCAGCATGTGGACACAAATACACAAAAGAACTGTCTGCCACAAACCCACCAGGCAAAAGGCCTTTGGTGCAGAGGGAGAAAATGTCCTTTAGCTGGGCTAACAGAAGCACTCTGAGAGAGCCTCTTGTACTTCCAGCATAACAGGCCTACATACAGCACTTCAACCCAACAATGCAGCCTGAGAAAAGGCCTTCTCTGATTTGCTTTAGACTTCATTCACTTATAAAAAACAAGCCTGGAGGGGCTGGAGAGATGGCTCAGAGGTTAAGAGCATTGCCTGCTCTTCCAAAGGTCCTGAGTTCAATTCCCAGCAACCACATGGTGGCTCACAACCATTTGTAATGAGGTCTGGTGCCCTCTTCTGGCCAGCAGGCATACACACAGGCAGAATATTGTATACATAATAAATAAATAAATATTTTGAAAAAACCATTCCTGTCATTTAAAAAAAAAAAAAGCCTGGAGAAAAATGATCCATCCTCTCTTGTCCTGTTTTGTTAGCTACCTTCCTTTTTCTTTCCTTCTGACTATATTGTCTTTCTTACTTTTCTATGTGCTCCTTTGAGATCATTTCTTTTTCTATTTATTATGGGGTGGGGTGGGGTAACAGAGCCTCATGCACCTCAAGTTGACTTTGAATACCTACGTATCTGAGGTTGTCCTTATCCTTATCCTCCAGCCTCTACTTCCCAAGTATGAGGACTACAGGCATGTACTACCACACCACAACCAAGCCATGACTTTTCTAGCTTTGGAGCCTGTCCTGGCACTCACTCTAAAGACCAGGCTGTCCTCAAACTCATCTGCCTCTGCCTCCCAAGTGTTGGGATTAAAGTTGTGAGCCACCACTGCCCAGCATGACCTTTTCTTATATCTTAACCCCATACATCTTTTCTCTTTTTCTTACCTTCCACATAGTTAAATATAGTTAAGGGCTATAAGATTGCTCAATGGAAAAGCATTTGCCACAAACTTGAGGGCCTGAGTTTCAGTCCTGGAATGAATATGGTAGAAAGAACCCAATTCTAGAGTATTTCTTCTACTTCCACACTTGCACTAGAGCTTGCACGTACCCACACACATATACAACCACACAAAATAATAAAAAAAAAAGCGTAATACAAAAATGCAATAATTTTTAATTACTGTTGCCTACTTTCTTTCTTAGTGAAAACAGGAATGTGACTCCAAGAAGCCTAATAATAGCCACTAATGACACCATAAAATTTTAAAATCCACTTCAATTTCTTTGTTTTCTTTTGTTGTTTTTTGAAACAGGGTCTCACTATGCAGGCATGTCTAGCCTGGAACTAATTTTGTACAACAGGCTGGCCTCAAGCTCATAGAGTTTACCTGCCTCTGCCTCCCATTTAAATAGAAATTTAAAAGCCTGAAAAGAGATACCTATTGTGACAGATATGCAAGACACAATGTAGAAACACAAGAACTCTGAAAAGTCAAGGCAACACAATTCCTGAATGTCTGATTTTAAAAATGACCAGGGACTTCAAGAAAATTAAAACAGACAAATAAGTAAAGAAATCAATTTAAAACCAGATGAAACTCCTTTGCTGTGACTAGCCAAAGAACCTTATTTATCCTAAAGGGTTTATACAGCACAGGATTTCAGAAAGTTCCAACATAAACAACAATTTCAATCTTAGATACTTTGCTAGGTTTGCTTCCATCAAAGATTTATGTGTATAATACACACTCAGCTAAAGGATCAAATTTTCAAAAGACTTTTCCCTCTGCCTTCACAAAGACAAGCAAGATCCTCTTACAGACTACACCTTTGACACGGTGCACAATCCCGGTGAAGGCAATGGGGTCAGTGACTGTATGGCAGTTGTGCTCCCAACAGAACAAAATCACTGCACTCACCTCCAGTTCCTCACTGTCTTTGGGCTTCTCCTCAGAGGTCTGTTTAACAAAGTCTGGGATGAGAATTTCCAGTGTGGCTCGGGCTACAAAAAGAAAAAGTCTGAGGTGAGGGCTTAAGCCCAAAGGAAAATCAGGTATGCTGCCCATCCAGCAGTGAGCTACATGTTGGTTCCCAAACTCGTAATGAGAAGCAGCAACAGCACTTTAAAAGGTAGACTTGGGAGGGGCTAAAGAACAACACATCCTGAAGAAGGAACAGTGAGATGGTAGAAGTTTTGGATACCAATTTTACCAAGGAAAGAACTCACATCTATGTTTTAATCAAATTGTAGCATTTATATTAAAAAAAAAATGGCTTGGCAAAACCTGGACCCAGGGAGGCCTGATAGCAGACAGCTACAGACATCCTGACCACAACACATGGATAACAGCTACTATAGCTACTATGAACAGGTAGATGGGCATATCTGAGGAACTCTGGAAGAAGCATGTATAAGGCAAAATTAAGAGGGTGGCACCCACCTGAACAGGCCACAATGTACAATAATGGCTCAGTCTGGTCCAACACAGCACTACCGGTAAGACATCCCAAAAAAATGAGTACATAATAAAGAGCAAGCAGTGCAGATGTCCAGAGAGAGTAGCTGGAATAGGCGGAGGGACAGGTGACCTTGTAAAGGATAACTGAGGAGAAGCCTGAGGATGTTTCCACTCCTCTGCCAGGCCCTATCTCAAAAGTTATCTGTTCAAAGTCTCAACAATTTGAAATTTGAAAAGTCTAGGCTGAATTTTTCTAAAAGAGATAGCAAGAGCTAGGGCCTACCTCAGTAGTAGAGCATTTTGCCTAGCATGTCAAGACCTGGCTCAGTCCCTATCTCTGCATAAGTTAACAAAATAGAATCAGGCATTCCTGGAGATAGAGGCAGAATATGCAAGCTAAGGGTAGCTGAACAGAGGACAGGTAATAACGTGATACAGAAAGTACTGTCCTCAGTACCAGTCATAAAAGAAAGTACCACAGAGGAACACTCTCTGATTCTTAGAAGTAGAAAATCCTCCCACTGCCCCCAAGACACAGTAAGACTGAGAAAACTGGTATGCCTCCTGTCCTTATAGTTCGGGAAGACAACATGTCCATAGGATAAAGTTCAAGAATGGTCCTATATGTACCAGGGCCAGAAGTATACCTAACACTAATCTGTAATGTATCCACTACTCAGAAAAGCCCAAAAGCTCCAATGCTGAGCAAAATGGCTTGGTTCAAAAATGTTGTCTATTCCTGCATAAAGGCAGAAGCAAAGAAATGGTACAGTGGGTCTTTTAAAGGAAAACACCAATTTCCTTGAGATGAACAAGGTGTGGAACAACTGTCTAACCCCAATTTGAAATCTGAAGGACTCAGGAAATAATCTATATAAAACATCAAAAATCCTTGAGATGGTGATAACACAACAATCTGCCTTTTTTCCTCTTAAAATGCCCACATTGTGTTGTTTAAAAACAAACTTGCATGCCAAGTGTGGGGTGCATGTTTTAATACTAACACTCAAGAGAAACCCAGTCTCAAAAAAACAAAAATAAAAAATAACAAAACAAGCCTGGCGGTGGTGGTGCATGCCTTTAATCCCAGCATTTAGGAGGCAGAGGTATGTGAATCTCATTGAGTTCGAGGCTATTCTGGTCTACAGAGTTCCAGGACAGCCAGGACTATTACACAGAGAAACCCTGTCTCAAAAAAACCACAAAAACAAAAACAAAACAAAACATACCCAACATGGCCCTAAGCATACCCAAATCTGCATATGGCTAGAACATGAACAAGAAACATTGACCCTGCTGTCATTTGGCAGAAAGAGTTCTTCTACTACTGTAAAGTCTCACTTTAAAAAATAAAATCTGGGGGCTGAGTCGGAATGTGGTGGTTCATGCCTTTAATCCCAGTACTCGGGAGGCAGAGACAGGCTGATCTTTGTGAGTCGAGGCCACCCTGGTCTACAGAGCTAGTTCCAGGACAGCTAAGGCTGTTACACGGAGAAACCCTGTCTTGAAAAACCAACAAAAACAATAAAAATCTGGGGGCTGGAGAGATGGCTCAAAGGTTGAGAGCACTGGCTGCTTTTCCAGAGGTCCTGGGTTCAATTCCCAGCAACCACATGGTTGTGAACCATGAGATATGGTGCCCTCTTCTGGTATGTAGGCATACATGCTGGTAGAACATCGTATGCATAATAAATAAATCTTTTAAAAAAAATTTAAAAAAGAACCTGAACCGGGGTGGGAGATTGCAGGGTGGCTCACACCTCTAATCCCAATGCTTGGAATATAGAGGTAGTTGGATCTCTGTGAGTTCAAGGCCAGGCTAGTTTACACAGAAAGTTCAGGACAGCCAGGACTACACAGAGAAACCCTGTCTTGAAAATCATACCCCCATAAATAAATAAAGAAGGAAGGAAGGAAGGAAGATGGTTTGGCTATTCTGGAACTCGCTCTGTAGACCAGGATAGTCACAAATCTCAAACTCAAAGAGATCTGCCTGCCTCTGCATCCCGAATGCTAGGATGAAAGGTATTAGCTAGAATCTTATTTTAATTATATGTGAGTATGTGTATATGTATGTGTGCATGCACACAGAAACCAGAGGCATTAGATTCCCCCTGGAGTTACAGGTATTTGTAAGCTGACCCATGCGGGTTCTGGGAATTGTGGTGATCTGAATGAGAATGGCCTCAATAGTCTCCTGATTTTGAGTGCTTAGTCCCTGGATGGTAGACATATTTGGAAAGGATTAGGAGGTATGGCCTTGTTGAAACATGTGTGTATTATCAGGGCAGAGGGTAGGGTTTGAGGCTTCAAAAACCTACACTATTCCTAGTTAGTTCTCTCTGCCTCATACTTGCAAACCTGATATAAATTCCAAGCTACTGATCCAGGACCATGGCTGCCTACCTCCATGTTCCCGACCACCATGATCAAGAACTCAGTCACCTTCTTAAACCACAACTCCAATTAAATGCTTTCTTCTAAAGTTGCCTTGGTCATGGTGCTTTGTCAGTAGCAGAAAAGTAACTAAGACAGGAACCAAACTTAGTTTCATTAAAAGAACAGTAGAGTCACCTTTCTAACTCTTTTTTACTTTCTTAGTTTAAATCATTTACAATGAGCACATAATTGTTATATTTTATCTTTGGTGGAGCAAGGGATTAGACCCACTCTAAAGCTGAGTTATATCTCTAGCCCTTAGTTTTTAGACAGTCTTGCTTTACAGCCAAGGCTAACCTGAAACTCACAATGATCCTGTTGTAGCTTCTCAAGTCCTAGAATTACAGTCATGTACCACTATTATATTTTAAAATCAAAGTAGAGGGCAGCAGAAATGGCTCAGTAAGGGTTAAGGGTACTTGCTACTCTGGGTTTGGTTCTCAGCACTGATATTAGGTGGGTGATTCTCAACTTCTTTAATTCCAGTTCCAGAGGACCCAATGCCCTCTTCTGGCCTCTGAGAAGTTCACATGCAGCCAGGCAAACACACAAACACACACGCACACGCCAAAAATGAATCTTTTTTAAAAGCACATTAAAAATAGATTATATGAGGAAATGTCTTACCCATATCCCTAAAAACCTACTCATTACTCAACTCCTTGCTAATCAGAGTGAGGCATGGTACCACTTACCATTAAGGTGGGCTTTTCTACCTCACTTAACCTTGTCTAGATATGTGTCCACAAGTATGCCCTAGAGGCTAACTTAATTTACATAATGATCACAGGCATGTCCAGAAGTTGGTAGTTAGTATTAATATCACATTTGGTATCCCAGAGACATGCTGCCTGCTGGTTTGCCTCACTCTGATTAACAAGCTGAGGTTCTGAGTTGTACCAAAAGGGGGAAGGAAGCTAAGCACTAGAACTCATCACTACCAGTTCCTGACCGCAGATGCCATGTCGGCAGGACCCTCAAATTCCTGCACAATGCCTTTCCCACAATGAAAAACTGTACCCCTTCAGGAACCAAAACACACCCTTCCTTTCTTAAGTTGCTTTTGTAAGGGTGCCTCATCACAGCAACAGAAAAAGTAACTGATATACCAAGCAAACCACATTACCAGCTTTATTCTTCGCAAGTTTTTTGCTGCTTGCAGTTCCAGATCCGTAAGTCACACCATCAATGGTCACCGAGGCACCAAAAGGCTCACTTGGATTCTCTTAAAATTAAAATTACTGGTTTTAAAACACACTTGTCAAGACATAAAAACACATGTGCACACAGCCTGTTAGCCCTAACAAGACACCCCTGAAAAAAGCATATTTGAGATGTGTAGACAAGTCTGGGAGATGTGGAGACAGGCAGCAAAGGGCACAGATGGGAAGACTGAAGAGTATGAGGAACTATGGGAAATGATCCAAAGGGGAAACAGAGCTGCCTAGCACATGGACAAGGTAGGGATGAGGTCTCTGAAAGACAAATAGAACTGACAAGAATGGCAAAGCACAGGATAAAGGACATCTGAGAAACAGTACCCCCCACCCCAAATATAAGTGATCCTAGGTCTCAGAACCAAAGGACGATCACACTGACATTCACAAACTATACAGAGGAAGCCATAGATAACAGAGCTGTCAGGAAGTGTAGTGAGATCAAGCTCTTTCATTATTGGGGGGGTGGGAGTGATGGACACAGAACGGAAAGCAATAAAGAATTCAATGCATAACAGAAAGGCTTTTATTACACACTGTTCTTGACAAGTCAGGAACTACTAAGGCAGAACAAGGAAAATAGAGGAAGGGGAAAAATAGGACAAACTCAAAAGAAAAAGCTGAGCCATCCCCTCTCTCAGACAATGGTCACTGCTGTGAAAATAAGATACCTATCTGCATTACACCTCTCTTTGTTCTTGCCTTGCACACCTACCCAACCCAGCAGGGCCAATGTGCTCACTCCCACCTACAGTCACAAGCAAAATGATATATACGACTCTTCAAGGACAAAAATGGACTTGAACTTACCACATTCAAAGAAATTATAAACAGGGCGGACCTTAAGGACACGTTGCATGTATTCGTGCAGGATGCAGACCTCGGATTTCCCATTGGGATTGATGACAAACTCTGTGACAAAAAGAACTTCTTAGGGGCTTACTACTATGAACATAGCAGCCTCTGCATTACAGAAAACAGACAGCTTTGGGATAAGTGCAACTTATAATAAAGATAAAGCATGTTAAAATGGCAATAATATGTCCCATCTGCTGATGCTGATAGTCCAAGCACAGCTCACCTTTCTTTGTAGGTGCATCTTGCACAGATAAAGTGATTAGCTTCTGGTTGGCTGGCAGAATAGGTCTCTCTGACTCTGCCTGCTTCCGCTTCATCTCACGGTTGAACTGGCGGCGCTCAGCCCAAGTCCTAAATTTTTTCACAGTTACTTGCTCAAAGTCAAAACGCTTCTCCAGGTAGGAACGAAATTCCTCTAGATCTGTCCAAGATACATACCAGTGAACTACATTATCAGATTTCCAACACAAGAATGTTTTCCTCAGTCCTGTTTATAATGACAATCCCCAAATAAACAAGTTCAGGACACAAGATACCCATTTCCCTTTCCCCATCCCTTTCAAAAGCAAGAAAAGAAAAAAGAAAACTTAGGTCCTTTCACACCTACTTCAAATCATTCTGGGAAATCCCTTATGGACAGAATCCTGGGCATACCTTTACTTTATCTAGACTTAAGAAAAACAATACGAAAATGATACTGGGGCTGGACGGTAGTGGCACACGCCTTTAATTCCAGCACTTGGGAGGCAGAGGCAGGCAAATCTCTGTGAATCTAGGTCCACAACAGCCAGGGCTACACAGAGAAACCCTGTCTCCAAAAAGAGAGCAAAAGAAACTGGAATTTGGGGGGGGGGGTGTTGTGTGTAAATAAAAACAAAGCAAGCAAACAAACAAACACAAGAAAGAAAGAGAGAGAGAGAGAGAGAGAGAGAGAAAGAGAGAGAGAAAGGAAAAAAGCAAGCTCGCTCTAGGTCTTCAGGCTTTTCTCCTTAAGTCAAAATGAGTATTGGTCTGGGAGACACTACATGTACACAACACAAAACAACAAGCACTAGACTGCCAATAGCAGGGGTCTATCAACTCAGTAACAGACTGTATCCAGGTGGCTGTCTACCTCCTCAGGGCTTCTACAGAGGTGCACCTCGTACCCGACCATGTTACCACTACCCAACAGCAGGTTCCTCTCCCAGTACCTCACACCCAACTGTGCAGCATACACACAAAGTTAACTCTGGAAGCTGCCTAGTCCTCTTTGGAAATGACTTTTAGTGGGTGGACTGAAAGAGCTCTGACACCACCAGGGATCTAAGGGACAGAACTAAGCTATAGACACAAGACAGAGTAAGAAATACAAGCATATAACCAAAGACAAATGCAAAACTCTAGAGCATTGCCCAGTTCTTGAAAGGCAAAAAGCAGAACCCTTCATTAAAAACAAAACAAAACAAACAAACAAAAAAGTGAGGGAACTAGCCATAGAAGAATGGCAGTTCCTTGGTGCTGAATTTATGACTGTGGGCTCCTTCTATATCCATCAGAAAAACAATGTCACAGGAGCACACTGTACTAAAAGAGCAAGACTTATTCAGGAGGTCATATTGAAAGACTAGTTGGCATTGCCATAATCGTCTCTATTGAAGTTTTTGGCAGTCAGGCCCTGCAGAGCTCAGGCCTGCTCTTGAAAGCAAGGGAGAGGGCCTGTCTGGCATGTAAACTCTAAATGCAAAGGTCCCTTCTCAGATACAACCAAGAACTAGAATGCACAACACACAATAAGAGTGAAAATGCAGGTAGCAATGAGGCAAGAAAATTCTTCAGAACACTTACCAACCGATTCATCTTTGCAAACCTCAACTTTAGCTTTCACTTGTCCCAAGGCTCCAGGGGCTGCCTCAGCCCCCAGTGGGTCCTTCTCATCCTGGGACCCCAAGTCTCCACCCATGGAGTCAGGCTCTTCCAAAGGGAAATCCAACTCTGCAGATCGACCCAGGGGCTTGGCAGGTGACACCTCCCCACTGGGTGTGAGATCACAGTTTTGCTCCCGTTCCTCATTATCCTTCATTTTCTTATAATGTAGACAGGGGATACTGCTTAGAGGAGGATCATGTTTCTGTCGATAGTGAAATTGAAACAGGGCTTATCAGGACAACTTTTGAGTCTGTTTGACTATACTACAACACATGCAGTTAAGCACTGAGAACTGACAAGCCTAAATACATGACAGGGGATTTCCCTACCCGTATGCTTCCCGTTCCCAAGAAGTAGGGTCTGGACCAGGTGACCACTCGAGACTCTCTGTGCAGGTATACAGGAACTCCAGAGTTATGAAAAGTCATGATCCATCCATCAGGCAGTGGTTCTGTAGGTGGACGGCCACGACCTGCACAACACGTAAAAACATCTTACAATCCCTATATTGTTACACAATGCCTCTTAAACATGTTTTTGTATAGGTCTTGCCAAGTTTCTATCTGCTTGATGGGCCCCAATTTCACCTCTAGGATAGTATGTGGAGCAAGGTGAGAAGTTCTACATGGATAACCAATGTACAAGAAGCTCCAAATAGTCCCCAGTCTAGCTTTTGCCTCCACACCTCGAAAACACTGGATACTTGATTTCTCCTACTTGCTGAGCCATGGTAAACAGGTACCTGAGGAATGGAGTAACCTTTAATCTGCAAATGTGTCAGTCAGTCACTCTTCCTGGTGACCAGACACAAGCTATTAAATAACACTGCCTTACTACCATATGCCAAGCCCTGGGTTTGATTCCACAGCACTATCTTAAAAAAAATACAAGCTTGCTGCTTTTGCAAAGGATCCAAGTTTGATGCCCAGCACTCACATGGTGACTCACACCATCTGCAACTCACAGTTCTAAGGGATTTGATGCCCTATTCTTGCTTCCATGATGCCACATATATACAGGCAGGCAAATAAATACACGAGATTAAATAAGTTGTTAACATAAAGAAAACAACTGGGCATGGTGGTATATGCCTCTAAACCCAGTACTTGGGAGGCAAAGGCAGGTGGATCTCTGAATGTTAGAGACCAGCCTTGAAACCAGCCTACTTAGTTTCAAGACAGCTATGGTTACAATAGAGACTGTTGAGAGAGAGTGAGAGAGAGAAAGAGAGAGAAAGAGAGAACCCCCACAAAACCATTTCTATGTTGCTTTTAAGGCACTGCTTCCAACCCTTTCTTTGCTTTACTGACAAGCTTTAAGAAAAGTACTAGACTTGTTTTCAACTTAGCTCTCTTCAATAACAAAACTAATATAAAATAATACAAATATACTAAGGACTTAACTAAAACAAGTGTTCTTCAGGTATCGGGAGCAATTTGATATCTAGAAACTAAAGAAAATATATAAATGAAGCCTGAATAATAGATATGATTTTAAAAAGGTGCCACTGACTCTTAAGAAGGGCAGGAGCACCACTGGACTACGCTCTGACCCCAAGGCTCGACACCCGTCACCATCAGAGTATGGACCCGGAGGGAAACTTGCAGGTCAGAAGTGTACCCACATGTACTTCTTCCAGGAACTTGATCAAAGGAGCTACTGCACACAAACCTTGGGCTAATTCAGGAGAAGAAGCAAACAGAACATGGACCCAAGCACAATTTAAGGCAGGTTCATCCCTCTACATATCTGTGACAGCAGGCTGTCACAGCCCACCAAACTGTCTGAAGAGCTTCGTATTATGCTCCTGACTCAACCTTTCCCAGGCAGATAAACAAGCCAGGGTTACTGCTACCTTGTGGGAAGTGTAAAGTGAGACTCCTGAAACCACGGGAAGAGCACAAAAGCCAACCTTCTAGCAACAAACACCAAGGTGAGGATCACCTGACCCATCCTTCCAAGAGCTACAGCCAAAGCTGGTCTGAAACTGCCAATCGTCCACTGTTCAGCTACTACCAACATGTACAGCAATACTTGGTACCTAACCTTGCAGACTCTCTCATCTCAGCAGCTCAAGGGAAACCTCTCCAGGAGTTTCAATTATGTGTCTGAGTCCCATGAGCCTTTTAATGTCCCCAACTGATCCTAACATCCTTACCAGAATAAGTGCTACCAAGCCAAGTTCACACAGAAGCTCATGTGACTTGTCCTACACGCTCCCTGTACTGGCAAAAGACAGAGCCTGATACACAACTGTGGGCATTCAACCACTGCTCTCCCATTGTCACCAGATGCAGGGATAAGTGTCACTCTGTACACCTCCCAAACACTTCTACTTCTATTGACAGAGCACCTGCCCTGCGCCATGCTGCAGCCCAGAACTTATGCAACACCTGATTCTGGTGTTTTCTTGACTCCAGCAACAGAACCAAAACTTGGATGGCAACTATAACCTCCCAACTCACAAAAACCTACCTCTGACCTTGGTTTCCATATTTGTAGACTACTGGTCTTTCATCCTAGCATGCATTAATGCACCCCATTCAAGGATCCTCTCTGTGGCTTCCACGAAATTTATCAAGATCTGAGTCTGGGTTGTAGGTATGAGTGAATATTTATGTCCAATTTGTTTTCTTTTCCCATAACTATTCTATACTTAAATCTGTGTCTCTACCCAGACTGATGCATTGCACAGGAGAACTTCCAAAATATTCTTGGGAAGAAAACCTTTCTGGGGCCTTGAAGCATCAGGATTTGTGGCTAGCTCACTCACTCTTGAGTACTGTTTTAATCTTGGTCATCATTGGCTGCACACTTGTCTCTCCATCAGATGGATGATCACTGTCTCCGCCATATTTTTCCTCCATCCGTCTCTTTTTGGGAGCACAAAGACCTTCTTCTAGCAAAGCATCCACATCATTGTCAAAGTCATCCTGCAAAACAAGGTTTTCAGATACTACAGGCCTCCATGCTTCTGTACCAAGGACAAGTTTCGTTCGCATGAGTGAAGTAATACTCAGAGAGACCCTCAATGGGGGCTGGGTATGCCCTGATGGCATTTGATCATCTGAAAAACAAACAGGATGAAATGACGAAGTGAAACCAAGACACCTGGTCCAAGAGCACACCCAGCCAAAGAGGCTTTTCAGCAGCACCTACTGGCTCAGGTTGGAAAAAGACACGGCCCAATGTTAGGCAAACTTTCCACTAAGAAACTTTAGATATATTAACTCCTTACATCCTTTTCTTTTCCACATTAATGCTATTTGATCTCATATGGAGTTTTGTTTTGAGTTCCCTGCTTTCAAAAGACAAAGCCACTTCCAAACCTCTTTGGGTTTTGCTCAGAGCCCTCCAGAGAACAGGTCACCAACATACCTCATAGGAGAAATTCAAGGCCTCTTCATCCACTCTGTCTCTTTGAACGATTGCTTTAGCCGTGAACCCGCCTGTTCCTTCTTCATCTAGCTCCAAATTGTCAGTAAAATCTTCTAACTCATCGAGCACTGCGTACTCCACTCTCTTTTCCTGATCCAGCTCATTTTCCTCATCCTTCTTATCTGCACTCTCACCCCCTAGGCCTACCCCATTACCAACACTCCCGCCAAAGGGACAAGCATGCACGTCCCCACTGACAGGACTAAGGAGCAGGCTACATTCAGCCCGAGTGCTGCGTTCTACTCCTGTGTACAGCACCTTCCTGTCCTTACTCCTACAGCTCTCAGTAAAGCTCACACTAATCTTTACATCCTTAAGCAACTTAAGGTCAGGGGAGAACTTCCGGACTGCGGGTGCGTGCCGGGCAGTGCGCGGGCTGTGGCCACTACAGTTCGGGTCTATGAGGAGGCGGCCCTTAGAGAAGGATCCTTTGGAGAGAAGAGAAGCTCCGTAGAAGTTGAAAGGGTCCTCGGCAGGAGGTTCGGACTGTCCATCACCACCAGAGCCAACGTCCATTACCTCTGCATCACTGGACGTTTGCAGGGGAGGTGGTGGAGACTGTTCATGGGGCAGCACTTGAAAGGGGCAAGCTCGGTTCTCCATCATCGCTTCTCCTGCGGGCTCACGCGGGAGAGGAGAGGGACTCTCATATGTCTCCATATTATGAGCAGTTAAGACTATTTTAAAACACCAGAGTTTTAAACCACCTTACATAAATCTATACTGCTAACATGCACAAGTCCGTCGAGACCCGGTGGCGTCCTGCCCGCGCTGCACACACTGGCGGCTTAGTCAAGCTGGCCACATTGCTCTTTTCATTAATGTAGACAGCTTTTAGAACCACTGCCTCAATTATTGGAAATCACAATGCACTCAGCTTAAAAGATTGACGTCTAAGTGAGTCTATCTTCATGCCAAAGTGGCACCTTTCTTCTTCCACCTGCAAAGAAATTTAAAAATATCGTCACAAAATGACAGAACCCTTCCACTTCTCTGGTACCAAGTTAAAAGTCAAATGTTATCTATGAAGTAAAGGGCCAAGATTATTGCCTTTAAGAAAGACTTTTAGACATCAGGAAAAAAAAAACCTTACTAGTTTTCTTCAGAACCTAAATTTTAAGCCCTAAATTAAGTATTTTACCAATTATTCACTTTAATCCCTATTTCAGAGGCACAAAAATATAGTCTCATATCTCAAAAAGGATGAAGACTAAAATAAAAAGCTAAACTTTCCTACAGTACTCCTATAACTCAGTCTAGTGGATAAGCAAGCATGCAGCAGGAGGTCACCATTTCAGGAACACACACAGAGTGCATGGCCTCCATCACGCTATTAATCCACTCACCTTCAAGGGCTGGGTCAGTCAGAGGGTGAGCGAGACCCTCAGCTCAACTCTGTGGCACTAGGGACCTCAGAGATATAGCCAGGCACTCTGCTACCCAGGGACCCCCTCTCCTGGGCCCACAACGTGGCACGTGGACAGGACAGTGATGCAGCGTGCTGAGGTCACCAGGAGTGGCAGCATAGATCCATTCCCAGTAGAGGAAGGGAGTCTGTTGGGAAGGGAGCCTACTAATATTGGGAGTAGGCAGGATAACACAGGAGAAAGCTAGAATCAATGCAGAAAGGGTCCTGGGTGCCACCGGGAGTCTAGCTGCAAGTTGAGAATAGTGAGCTACCAAGAGGGAAGCAACTCTCCTTATAGAGAAGACTCACAGCTATACCAGGTATAGGTGTCTGCACCAGGTGTTGGGACAGTTCTCCAAAACAAAGATGTAGAAGCAGCTCTGGAAACAATAAGAAAGTATCACAGGAATTGTCTATGCTTGTAGACCCTATAGGGTAGAAAGGAGAAAAAAGGAGGTGAAGAAAAAGGCTTAAGCCTCTGCAGACACACACTGGTACCTAGGAAGAAGCCCAGAGAGAAGAATAGAGGATGCTGCAGGCAGTCCTATCTCACAAGTACTCAGGCCACACAACTCTGGAGCTCTGAAGAGGTCTGGTGGAGACAACCACACGAACTGGGAGCAAAGCACCAAAACCACAAGAGGGAAATAGCAGAGGGAAGGACATAATCCTAGGAAGCTCTGCTACAGAGAATGTGTAAAAAGAGGGACAACACAACAGAAAAGGCAGGTCAGAGGCTAGCCACAAAAACCCAGAGGTTCACAGAAAGGCTATGGGCAGAAACACACACACACACACCCACACACACACCCACACAAGCAAACACTCAGGAGCGCACAGGCACGTGCGCGCACACACACATGCACACTCCTACATCATGCACAGAAACATGCACATGCCATGCACACTGGTGCAGGTACAGTTAAACACACACTACCATGCCCATGGGTGATAGCTTGGTTGCATCTACATAACTCTTATACTTGGTTGCATCTACATAACCCATATTCTTAAAATCCTAGAGAAGACAAGAGTCAGAAGACAACATCTATATAAGCAGCTTACAGTGAAGGGATTAAGTGGGGTGGTTATGCCTTACTGAAGGTAAGAGGCTTGTTTAGGTTAAATTAATCCATTTAAATATTCACTTACGTCTACTCGTGCTAACACTAGAAGAGACAAGGAATCCATGGCCTGGACATAGCTGGTAGGTCAAACTACTATCACTTTATTTACTACAACCTCTGATAGCCTAACAGTTTTTAATTCAATGGGAACTGAACAAACTACCTCTCTAAAGGTGTTCCCATCAAAGGAGCTTAGGAATGACTGAGAAGAGCAGCAACCACTAAGGAGCCAGAAGGGAACCAAAGGGGCAAAGCCAGTTTCCCGGCAACCAAGGACCACTGCAGAGGACAGACAGGTCAGCACACTTGACCTTGAATAAGACCAGGACAGAGCCTGGTAGGTATGCAGCGACCACAAGAAATCAAATCTGTGCTTTCTCAGCTAGAATATGCTGATGGGAAGAAGACTCAAGTAGGCAGGGGTTGGAGACAAAGAGTGGGACAGGATGGGCAAGTATGCTACATGTTAAAAGTTAAAGAAGTCAGTGTAAAACTACAAAATAAAAACAATAAATGGAGACATTAGTGTTAAGGGGGATAGGAGTTTAAAAGAGATACACAGCACAGGTGGGACCCTGAGGCCCTGAAAAGGGTAAGTACACGTCTTGCAGGAGCAGGAAAATGTCTAGCTCTTGAGCTCAGCAGTGGACAATCCTAGATAAGTTTCTGACTTTTCCCTCTGTAAGCTTACTCAATTCATTAATCAACTATTTGCTGAATGCCTTCCACAAGGCATACATCATTTATATGTTAAGCACAAGGCAGACAAAACACTTGTCCTACAAAGCTTACATATCAGTGGGGGAGAAAGATACTAACAAGAAAAGTATCTATGATGTCACATGCTAACAAACATTCTAGCTAAAACAAAGCAAGGGGGAAAAGCTGGGGAGCAGGAAGCAGTTTCTAAAAGACTACACAGGCTCTACAGCCAGTATCCACTTAAAGATGAAACAGAGAGCCAGGTGGTACCAAGGGTGAAAGGAGGCCACTGTAGAAGACACCTAGGGGAAAAGCAAAGACCCAGGGACAAAGACATGGTATGATCAAGCTAGGATAGTATGTGAGGGGAAGTGAAAGCAAGTCAGGAGAGCACGTCTTCAATTTTTATCTTTTTTATCTTGTGAAACAGGATACTGCACAGAAGGGTATCACAAAACAGTGGTATCAGTGATCCATGGGTAGTAATGGCAGTCAATCCTCACACAGGCCCTAATCTAAGGACTTCCTACAACTCACCCAGCACTGTGACAGAAAGGTTAAACAAATGTTCAAGGTCACAGAGCTAGGAAGTGGTAGAGCTGCTTTGCCACCCAAACAAGCAGGCCTGAGTCTGTACTACCTCAGTTATACAACATCTTGCAATTTAAATTCCTCACCGGGCAGTGGTGATGCACACATTTAATCCCAGCACTCAGGGAGGCAGAGAGGCAGGCGGGATCTCTGTGAGTTCAAGGACAGCCTGGTCTGGAGTTCCAGGACAGTCAGGGCTACAGAGAGAAACCCTGTCTGGAGCGAGGAGGGAGGGTTCCTCTGTGTCCAGAAAAAGTACTAAGAGGGTGATAATGGGAATCAAATTAGAAAAGGGGGAAGAATTAAAAGGCTCACCAGGTAGAGTGAACCAGGACTTTAAGTTGCAGTTTCTGAGAAACAACAGTCTGCTGTTGGAAACAGGTGGCAAGGCTTGCTGAGAAAGGCATGAAGGCCTAAGAGAGGCACCAAGGTGACTTTAGACAGCCCAGAAGGATTGTTCTGGCATGGACTGTGATGAGAGCTTGGCTTGGATCAAACTACTTGGTGTCAAAGCAATCCATGACAAAGTGAAAAGAACAACTAGCAGCAGGAGGTTAGCGATCAGAAAGGAGATCCACGTTGGAGATGGAGATTTGGAAGATGTCAAGGAAAGTTGATGTGAAAACTAGAAGAGATCACATGGGAGGGAAATGATGACAACAGAAGGCCAAAGCTGGACAAACCAGTCAAAATCATACTTCCTACAAGGTAAAATTGCAACAACCACTGTGGAGTGCCTGCTCCCCTGGCCATGCAGAGTTCAAAGGGTAGCCCTTCCTGCCCTCCAGCCTCACTGTTCTTCAGCTGATTGAACCTGTGGATGCAGCTCTTGCTTTGTCAACTGGACTGGAAGCAAGCAGCTTACCCAACACATCTGGACAACTCCTACTTGCTGGACCGGCATGGATATAGCGGTGGTGACCAATGCTACAGCTGCAGCCTCCTGACCAATCCAAAGGCAGTATGACCTCATCCATTCCTTTGTCACCCTGCAAATCCTCTTATTTGAACTTACAGGCCACACTTATTAGACCAGCCATTTACTTACTCCCTTTGGATAGTGGTGGCTTACATTGAGGACTGAGCCATTTTCAAGACTGGGAGTCCTGTTTAAGCCAGGAGACAGTGGGCCTCTCCTAGTGATTGGCTGCCAAAAGTCAACAACCCTAGATAGGACATCTCTGCATCCGGCAACGGAGTACATGCAAGCATGCAAGATGGCAAACCAAATTCCTATCATGTAGCAACCCAAGTCCACTGCATGATATTACTTGACAGGTATCGCTGTCAACAGGTTGCCACTTCCCATTTATTCTACCACGCTCATTGTTACTGTAAAACCACATCCTGAAAAACTACACGACCACTTCATCCACGGGCAATTTGGAAGAGACTTGGGCGGTTTGTCGGCTTTTCCAAGCAGCCAAAACAGGCAAGAGTTCAGGGCGAGAGGTGTCCCTGCCCACACGTCTCCCGCCAGAAGGCAAGGCGAGGCGATGGCTTCGGGCCCACCAGTCGAGGGGCTTCGTTACCAGGCCGACAGCACCCTACGTCCACGACGCCTGGGCTCCGGGCCCGGCCGCCGCTGCACAAAGGCCGCGAGTCCGCATGGCCCAGCCCGCCTCG